GAAAACCATTTGATACTCAGTGCCAACATCTGTTACAGCTGACTGGATCTGAGAAAGGGGTATGGCCAGTAGCTAGTTGCCATGCCCCCTTCCCATGAGTCATTTTCATCTTATTTATTTATTCATCTATTTATTTTACAATCCATAACTACTGCAAGGGACCCCTTTTGTTCTGCTGGTAACACCCTGTGGGACTTTGCATTATATTGCAACACATAGCATAAACTGCTGGGATGTTTGAGTGGATACACAGCAGCAGGGTCAGGGAGTTGACAGATGTTGGGCCTAGCAGATTTATGGTGTACATGGAAATATTATGGTGTACATGGAAATCCTTGACGAGATGTTGCTACCATTTTTGAGGGCCATGGTGTTCAAAACCTTTTTTTTTTTCTTTCTTTCTTTTTTTTTAGTCTAGCCTAGCTAAGTGAACAAATAGAAAAATTAGCTATTCTAGAAGCATTTTAAAACTATAACTGGATCTATTTATGTGAAATTAGTAAAAAAGTAAAAAATTGTGGTCTTTGAGGGGCCAAACAGAGTCAAAGGGGGGGAACTGTCCCTGGCAGGGATACTAATATCAGGCCAAGCTCACAGCACTTTTTTCAACCACTTTCATAGTTGTATCATTTTGTTATGACAGAAAAAGTTAAGACACTTTTTTTCTGGAGAGTTTATAGTGCTTGCACAGTCTACATATGCTTTACAATCTTTTCAATAACGAATATGAGTTAGTTTGGTGCAGGACATCACATAATTATCTCCTGCCTGGGGTTCTTGTGTGGAAAAAATATTTGTCGGAGAATGTATATATATATCATAATCTTTCTTTCCAGAAGAACACCAAAACTATAGCTATGTGTGGAAAAACAAAAGTTGGGCACAAGGATGGCTTTCTGCATCTAAATATCATCTAGAAAACATGTTTTGCTCCTTTGGCAATCAACATCTCATCCCAGGAAAATCTAAGCTTACAGAACATGAAAACATCACTTGTAGCAAACCAAATCTGTCAACAAAATAATCCACTATTACACTGTCACCTGGGATTCTACAGCTTATGTAAACTTTTCATGGCATTGCTGATAACTCAAAAGGCACCAAGAAAATGAGCTGCAATCACACCAAAGGTACATTTGCTAAAAGCAAATATCTTTACTCAGAAGATGAAACCAAAACGATCACTAAGAGTTGATTTCAAAAGGTTGGTACTTGTTTTCAAAGCTTGCAACAGATAATTTGTTCATAATTTGTTTGAATACTGTTTTGGAGCTGATATGACTAGGGCCTGATATTATCTTCTTATTAGCAATGGAGAAATAATAGACCATTCATAACATCATACTTATGCTTTGCTCTGAGGGACTATCAAGAGCTGAAACTGTGAAAATTAGGTATTTCGAAGCCAACCATGTCTGTGGATCAACCAGATACATGGCTAAATGCATGATGGAGGAAGGACAAGTTAATGTCATTCAAAACTATAAATCAATGTGCTACATGGAAGACAAATAAGAAGCTTGCATGAATATCATGAGCCAATGAAAACCACTTGATACTCAGTGAAATGCCCCCTTCTTAAACCCCCTCCCAGCTACTGGGTTTGAGAAGGGGGCATTGCAAGTAGTTAGTTGCCTTGTCTCCTTACCATGAGTCATTTTCGTCTTAAATATTTACTTTTTTCTTTTTTTTTTCTTACAATCCACACCTACTGCAAGGGATACAGACCTGTTTGTTCTGCCGGCAACATCCAATGGAACTTTGTATTATGCTGCAGTATGCAGGCAGTCAGAAACTGCTGGCTGTTTGAGTGGATGCACAGAAGTGGGGGCAAAGGGTTGACAGATGTGTCGGGCCTGGCAGATTTACAGAGTATGGCAGTGTAGAAATCTTGGACAAGATGTTTCTACCATTAGTGTGGACCATGGTATTCCCAATCTGGAGCCATTTTACTTCGGTCTGGATATTGGCCCCATCCACACAAGCAGTGTTGTGAAGGCATGTTTTTAGCAATATTTTGAGATTATGCTATGCCACATCCACCCAAATCGCTAGATTTCAATCCCATTAAGAAAGTTTGGGCACCCATGGGCAGAGAATTCCCCCAAGATCATACTCACAGTTACTGGTGGTGCTAGTGGCATCCATAGCACCATGTAACAGTTGGTGGCTGTTACAAGAAATATTGAAAGTATTGTACATTTCAAAATCCTTAGTATTTTAAATGTCTCTTTACCTGAGGCAAATATTTGTTTAGTGCCAGCCTGATGGCATGAAGGATTTTCCATATAAATGATATTAATGGTATATGATATTAATGCTGATGATAATTATAACAATAGCAATAATGATAATATTTGCTATTAGTATTGTTATTTCTATTATCAATATGACTAGTAATAAAAATAATAACTATATGTATGAATAGTATTTTTCAGCTTGCATCTTCAAACCCATCAGGTATTAAGAAATTTCCATCTATATCTCCTGACAAAATATAGCAGGAATAGTCTGCCTAATTACTGAATCAGCACAATATGAATTTTCTTTTTTTTTTATCGTAATCATTATCATCACTGTTACTGTCTTTGTTATTATTATTAAAGTTTTATCAATTCACCATTTATAATGGGTAACATCACCACATGATAAAGCATGGTAGGAATGTGGAAGTCAATCAAGTAACTTATTTAAATGCAGTAAAGCAGTTGTTTTTACGACAATTAAGTTATAACTCATAATGCTAGTATGTGATGTGACATTGGCTACTAGCCATTAAAAGCTTAATTTCCATAATAATCAAATAATTTCTTGTACATGTAAACAACTTGATGGGGCACAGGACATTCTGCATGTGAGGCAGCAGTTTTGTTCAAGCAGTATGACTCTTTGACCCAATAGGTTTCTGTACCCCCCAACAGCATCTGTACTCCATCTGCAAGACTTGAAATTATTGCAAGTATTTGGTACTGCAGATAAAGCATTATCATGTCACTTTACATCATCATCATTATTACTTATGATAATAATGATAGTGATGATGATGATGATGATCACTTCTTTTTTTTTTCATTACATAAATTAGACAAAATATGAAATGTTACAAAGTTTTAGGAATCATGTTTACTTGATACTGTACATCAAAAAATACAGTAACCACTGAAAACTGAATGTTACCACCAATGTTATTCATCCACATCACACTGCCAATCATCCACCACACTATAATCTTGCCAGTTCTTTGTCACACCACCACTATCATTTCCCACCTATATCAATATCCTGCTATTTCTCCATCCTACCACTCTGCCATTCCTTCATTATACTATATCATGCCATTAATCTACAACACCATCTCTCTTCCACTCTTCCATCACACTATCATTTTGCCATTCCTCTTCTACACCTGCTATTCCTCCATCACTCCATCAACATGTCATTCCTCCATCATAACATCATTCTGCTATTCCTCTACACTATGCTATTTCTCAAACACACTATCACCCTAGTATTCTTCCATCATGCCAATCTGCCATTCCTCTACCACATCACATCTCTCGTATTCCTCATGCTCGGAGTTCTCTTTCACACCAACACTCTGCCATTCCTTTACCACACCAAAACTCTCCCATCTTTCCACAACACAATCACCCTACCATTTCTCCTATACACAATCATCCAGCCATTCCTCTA